TATGTCCTTGCAAGCCTCCTCACACGAAACGAACCAGCCTCGCGTAAGTGATGGGAATCTGCACACTGGCTGGCTCCGCGGCCGGCCGTCACTCAGCGTGGCAGCCGGTCTCCTTTGCCTGCCTGGCAGCGATGTGAATCAACTCCCGGAACAAGTGGGCAGCCAAGTGTAAATTGTAGTTGACTACCTGGCGTGATGCTGCTCCACATCCGTTCACAGAGTACAAACAAAGCAAGAAAAAGGGCATAGCTGACCTTCCCTTTTTATCAGGAGCTGGTTGGTGGGCTCTTTTGTCAGGGTTTCACCAGCCGGTTGGGTCTCTTTTGTCCAGATGATTGGCAGTTTATGCAGCTTGTTTCAGTTTTTTAACTAATTTTGAATTCCAGTCAAGGGCAATCTCAGTTCTGAGTCTTGGGGAGTCCATACGTCCCTCCAGAATAAGGGATATTCAGGGCAGGCAAGCTGAAAGCCTGTGTGTGCTGCTGGAGACACAGTGAAAATTGCTGGAGGCTCAGGAAGAAAGTCCTTGGGGAGAAGAGGAACCTGACATCACAAAGAGACAAGCCTTCAAATCTTGATCTTGGTGTAAGAGGGCAAATACCCACTTTCAGAATATATTGTATTCAAGGCTCTTTGGTTTTGGGAGGCTGAGTGAAGGTTCATGGCATCTTACAGTTGTGTCAAGAAGATGTTCTCTCTCTCTCTATTATGTGTCTTCTTTTTATTCGTTTTTCCTTTTCTATTTTTGTGTCTGATGTTGAAGTTCATTTGATTTTCTGATTCCTCCTGCATTTAATTTCTCCGAGTTCAATCTTTGCCTGGATTTAGAGTCATAATCATTAGTATTTGGAAGTGTGGGGTTAAAATGATAAAATAAATCTGTTATAAGATAGCTTTTTTCCTTCTAGCTTTTCAAGGTCTAATTATTTTGAGGCTGATCTAGTATGCAATTGATAAGATGAAAATGTAAATTTACAGGTTTAGTATTCAAAGTATTTTTCATCTGATCAAAGAGAGGGAAGCATTTTGCAAAACACAAAGCTTGCGTTTTTGCATGCGTCTGAAGTTATGTGGATGTAGCCAAGCAATCCGGAAATCCACAGTGCATCCACTAATGTTTATTTCATTTTTCTACAGGGGGTCTTGACCTTATCTTCATGCCAGGCCTTGGGTTTGACAAAAAAGGCAACAGATTGGGAAGAGGGAAAGGATATTATGATACATATCTTGAAAGGTGTATGAAACATCCCAGTGGAAAGCCTTACACGATCGCCTTGGCTTTTAGGGAACAGATCTGTGAATCAGTACCTGTGGCAGAAAATGATGTCCAAGTAGATGAAATCCTCTATGAAGACTGCTGAAAGTATCTTGATGCCAACCCACCTTCAGAGTGACCAACCAAAGACGTCAGATCCATCAATCATGACTTTTTAATCGTCATATATGACTTCGGGAGCAATAAAATACACTACTTGTGTTTGAATGAAAAGGAAAAAAAACAGTGTAAATGTGGTAATAGTAGTGAAGATTGCATTGATTTGCTTCTGATTAGCAAATATCTGTGTGAATTCTTATCCTAGAATCAATAGAAGCAAGAATGTATGGCTGTTACAGCAAGGACCATTTCTTATCATCATACTTTTGCGGAACGAGCTACTTGATATTTAACAGTTTTATTATTCCAATGAACTGTCTACTAATGCAGTTCTTGATCCATTCTGGAATTAGAGACTTGTTATGGTAAAAGTTCTTAGTACTTAAATATTATGTGCATCCATGAGCAAAACAAGAAAATGCTGGATAAGTCCTGTAGTAAGCTGGGAAAAAATGTGATTGGACAAAGGCCTTAATTGATCTTAGAGTATACAATAATTTTGCTGTTTACTTGGCTCCTTGAAGTTGTCTTAAAATAAAAGGAGTATCTGTTAATAAAAAAAGATTTGCGTCCGTAGCTTTGGTGTCTGGTTCTTTCATTTATGTGAATACAAGATTGTAATGTAGTCTAAAATGCAGTCATTGAGTTCTCCAGCTGGAGAAAAACAGCTCTTTTTTGTGTAAAATAATATTCAAAATTATTTTAAGTTCTATAATTTTGTACATGGGCCATTCGTAATGTCCCAAAATATTGTGTGAAGTTTGCATACTATGTTAAAGGATAAAGAGATGCTAAGAATTACAGAACAGGTTTTATGGACTGAGTAGGTTTTTGGGTGTAAGGTTGGTTGTTCTCCAGTTCTCCAGACCATCCTGGAAATCAGAAAGAAGGCAGTGAGTTTTCCTCTGCACACTGTCTTCATAGCAATAGGACACTATTTCCAATCAACTGTCAAAATTTTGTGTTCCTTTTTCAAAGCAACTTCACTTTCTCTACGCATGTTTAACTCCTCCCTGCATCAGTAGGTCAGTGTGCTTATTTTCACCAAACTACTCTGTGTCATTGTTAAAAAAATCCTTGAATTCAAAAGGACCAGCTGTGGAGCAGAATGACCTTACGAATTCCTCAATGAGAACTGTTTTTGTGAACAAAACCATGCCTACAGTACCTATGAACCTTTTAATCTCAGAATGTTTATATTCAGTTTTGTTTCCATTTTGCCAGTATAATAACTAATTAAACCCTCTAGCTCTGGGGTAAACGTAAGCGTAGCAACTCAAATCTCTCTGGCCTGTGCTCCGAGGTGCTTCTCCATCCTGTGTTAACAAAGGTCCATCTGGCTGGGGTGAAGATACCTTCAGTGTTGGCCTGCTGGGCTTCCCACCAGTCTGTAGAGAAGAGCTGCAACCTGCACAAGATGGCTGGTAGCAGTCTGCAGTATGGGCTATTTAGTACGACGATGGTGATCGGACGCGGGCTTCCATCCGTTCTTTGTCAAACTGTTTCATGCCATCAGATGAAAGACGCAGACTAAGATGTGTCCATGTACCGCGCGGGGTTGTGCGAGCAGCTGAGATGATGGTGTGGGTGCTGCGTGCGGCGGAGCATCCTCCAGCTCCTCGCAGCTCTGCGCTGCTGCCAGCCGCATGGCCTGATGGGAGGGAGACGGACTCTTGGCATTGAAGACCTTAGAGGAATAACTGTGATGAGAAAATTGGACCCTTTTTTTCCCCCAGTGTCTGTCCTGGCGGTATTTTATTCTCTTCTTCATTTCTGAACTTCTGTTGGCGTATGGAGAGTGACAAAAAAAGACAAAGCTGGGGGAGGCGTTGCATGTGGCAGACACGTTTCTAGGTTTGTCCGCAAGGCTGTCGGAGTTCACTGATCACATGGGGCTCAGCACGGTGCCGTATGGCACGGCCTGATGTGGGCAGCAGCAAAGCTACGCTGAAGCCAGTATTTTTCACAGTGGAAACCTGGATCCCAAATCTGATAGATGTTTTAAATGTGTAGAAGTCCAGCTCTATTAAACAAGCTACGTGCTTCCACCCCACCAAAACCAGTGGGAGCTTTTGGCGGTGACCTGCCTCAAGGTTTCACCACGCAGCTTTACCTGGGACCCTTAGACATGTTTACATGTTTTTGGTTAGTGTCTCACTAAGCCTGACGACTGCAATAGCGTGGCTCCAGGTCTACTTTAGGCACAAAATTAAGAGGCCGTGTCAGCAGAACAGAACATAATCAGAGGCTAATGACCTCTTGCTGCTGTGTTCAAGCTGAGGGAAAGCCGTGAGGTTTGGTTTTAAAGCTGAAGGTTGTTTTTTTGAGCTGTGCTTTATTAGGATGCCTTGTGCTGCATAAATTAGAAGGCTACCATGAAAGCAAACATTTTATCCAAAGCCTCTGTGCCTTGTGCCTTTCCTTTTCTGAGACATTTTTTTTATGAGGGTTTTTTTATTATTATTATTAATATTATTATTATTATTATCCCAGTTAGATACGAGTTTATTCACAAATTTTTATGGCCCTTTTGGATTAGCTTTTGATCTTGCTGTCTGAGCTGTGATTTATTCACTAGAATAAGGGCTAGCTGGACTCTCACATACTCCACTACAGGTGATACGAGGTGAACAGCTTTGTACAAAAAAGCCAACATGGGATGAAGACTTCAGGGCCAGCACTAACAACGGTATGGAACCAAAGGGCGTAGAGAGAGACAAGGACTTGGTCATACGTTTTGTTGCGTGGGAGTTCGAAATGGGGGGGGAAAGGTAAAAAGCAAGAGTTTGGATGCAAAACACAGGCCGCCGTCCAGCACAGCCGCAGATAGGTGCCAAGCTTTGTCCTTGTGGGCTCAGTGGAGCTGCTGGAACTAATCAGTGTAGGAAAAGCAAGCGTGCTTTGAAGGCTTTCGGGTCTTGAGACAATGAGTGACCCCAAACTTCGGATCTCTCAGATCACATTTCAATACATCATGGAGCCGTTCTCTCCCTCTTTCACTCCAAACCCCCCTTTTGGCTACAGCTGCAGTGGGAAAGGATGAGGAAACTATTTAATGCACTGTATCATTGGGAACAAGATTTCTTGCCAGCCTCTCCTGGGTCAGGAGAAGATCATCACAGGCTCATCGGCCAGGCGAGGGGAACCGCAGGACCCTGGCTGATGCAGATAGCTCGGAATATTTGGCTGGTGGGGATAGTAAAATAATATTTATGTATATTGTCTTGAGAATCACGGAGCTAAATAAATGTGACAGCTTTCATTTGACAACCCCAACCTTGCTGCTGTCGCTCAGGGTTTTTCTTTTTTGCCACGTAACATGAAATCACTGTCAGTTTGATAGCATATAGCAGTGTTTCCCAAGCACAAAGGTCAGGGGGTTGGTAGGTGCCTCAGAATTATTTACGTTTGTTATGCATAAAATGGCACTTGGGGAGCAAGGCAGGCGGCCAAGAAGGAGAGGAATCGAGGCTGGTTGCTCTCGTGTATCTCTCCATACTGAATTGTCAGGGTAGGATTTATAAAAATTGCTTCAAAACAGTATCATCTTTCCTCAAATGGACGTGCCCCCGTCTGTTGCTGTAAATGCCATTATTGCTGTTCTCATGACAAAGCGTCTATCAATCGCTCCTTTGTTTATAAACAAATCTGCCTGCTCTGCAGAAGAAATGGATTGGCTAAGGAAAAATACCATTACCAAAGGAATAAGTTAATTATATTTCAGGATCTCAGCAGGGAATGCTATCTTGGAGTATTCGGTAAGATCTGACCAGTGGAGTTATAATTAAAAAATGTCCCCAGGGAGGAATTTGTAAATTATTTACTGTAAGGGGCTTTTCCAGGCTCTTTTAGTTTAATTACACACTCTGAGAGAGAAAGGCCTCAGAAACAAATTAACTGAGAGTTTGAAATGGCTTTGTTAAAATCATGTTCACAGCTGAGCAAGTGGATGACTGTGAGCAAGGTTCAAATACAGGACAAATTTTTGGAAGCTGGCATTACTTGTGGTTTAAAAGTCATATGGAAAGCACCAAAATGTCCGTGCGTAGAAAAAGCGATCACTGGTTTTCTCCAGTATTCCCACTGGGCTCTGAAGACGCTGCGTGCAGTTCACGGGCTCAGATCTGACAGTGCCTCATGTCCTCACGGCCATTTGCTTTGTGGGGAGAGGAACTCACTTTGGGGGTTTTTGGTAGGGTACGGGCGAAGTCCTAGCAGAAGGGGATGAAAGATTAGAGGTGATGGAGAGGCAGAATGAGAGGATGCTGGGACAGTGTGAATTTTCTATCGGTTTCACACCACCCAGGTCATTTCAGCTCAGAACAGCCTGGCCAACCCTCAGTGGAAGGTGGGCTGAATGTGGCCCTTGGTGCCAAGAGACGGGCACCCATGCAGTTGTCTCCTCTTGAAATGCATGGGTGAAACCTGACCTGCTTGCGCTCCCAGGTGGAACACAGCTTGAGCGTTAGCTGCTGAGGTGGGCCCATGGAGCTGGCCTTTGCTGGGGTGACCACTGATCAGATGTGGAGAGTGGAAGTCGAGAGGCCAGCACGCTCCCCTCATCTCAGCCGCTGACTCACTGTTTGGCAGAGCAGAAGACGTTGTCTAATACCTGTTTGCTAAGGAATAAGGCAGCCAGTAATACTGTATCTGCTTGCCTGTTGGTGCCAAATTTAATGTATTTAATGGCCTTTCAGCTGCGGTTGTCCTGGCATTCAGTTCTTTCTGAAAAAACCCATCTGCTGTGGTACCCTTACCAAGGAGCCAACTGCCTGAGCAGAGCAAACAGCCAGGCGCGGCTGCAGGTGCGTACGTGCTTGTGAGCCCATATACACGCATATAGCATTTCTTTTTTCTGTGAGTCTCCTTTTTCTTTCCAATTTATGGCACGTGCATGTTTTGCTTAGATGGAAACTGCCCCAGAGTGAGCAGTCTCTCCGCCCCCTGCGTGTGCACAGTCTTCAACACATGCCATTGGATTATAGCCCGAGGGTACCGTTACCATGTCCGAAACAATAAGTTCTCCACCTTCAGGCAAACTAGCTGAAAATCCGCAGATGAAAGCCGCTTTAGTCATTCATCAGGCAGATGAGATCTATGCTTTTATTTTGTTACAGTGTAAATCTGCTGCTTAGTTTTCTAGTCTCTCTGAAAACTACTGAATCATAAAAATGCTTGCAGCAAATGCCAGCTTGTCTGTCACCAGAATACTACATTAAATGGTTTATCAACTCCAAGAGAAGACTACTTTTGAGATGATTTGGATATACAGTTAGGGAACAAAATATGTTGACAGCTTTACAATTGTCTTC